CACAGACAATCAGCTGTTTATACTGGATCTTGACGTGTTTGATTTGAAAAAAAACAATTGTTTTCTGTCATACAAATCTGCTAAGGCGTTTTTCTGTGCCAAAAAATGCTAAAATAGAAGATATGTTGCCCCGCAGTATATACGGATTTCAAACTAAAAATCGTTTAGTATAGTTTAAGGATTAGATACATTTCTTAATAGATGTCTGTTTTGTCCTAGAGAAAACATATTGAGTTTATTTCAATTCCATGCAATATTTTATTCTAAACGTGATTTCGGATGTAGTTTTTAATATTTATTTCAAACAGTGACAGCGAGGGAACATATTTTTCTTTATTTCAGATTTTTAAATGACAATCATAAGTCAAATTTTGCTTTGACAAGTAGGAGGAAACACCGTTACCGAATGTATATAACTTTGTGCTGTATGTTCAAGGCCTGTGACTGGTGATTCACATGCTTAAGTCTCCATCTCGTCGTTCAAAGAAATAACTCAAAGTGCGTTAAGACTAACACAATAAAATTACGATCGTTTTTATACAAAATATGTTCTAAACGTGCACTATTCATATGCGTAAATCGATTTTGTCAAAGATTTCCAAACTAAGTATCATTCTATTTGTCATATGTATATTGAGAACATTGTATAGAATCTCCACCAGACATTTCTATTATATTTATAGATATTATCTTTCTTTCAACTACTTAACATAATTTGAGATATTTCTCATAATCTTTTTGACGAATTCATTCAGTACTCCAGCAAAAAAATTAAAATGTCACTTTGTTCCTAAAAGAATGCATAATTTCGGTTGAGAAAATAGATTGGAATGGAAAGGCAATTAAATGCATTTATCATCCTTTTGCTACAATATATTTGAAGAATTACTAAAGACACTCAGCACTTATACAAATAAAACACCTACGTAGACAATTCACGTTTAATATACATCCTTGTTCCCTCGACTGTAAGGAGGATTATGTCGAAAAAAAGTGGTCAAAACACTAAAATTCGCTTGTGTGTGTCTGTCGCAGGTCAAGGTATATTGATATTCTTAAAATTTCATAAAGCATTGTTTGGGAGGGGGCTGAGGGTCGAAAAACATTTTCCTCAAAAACGCTCAAATGTTTGTAAAACACGGTTTGGAAGGGATGTTAGTAAGGGGGATTGGTATGGGATTGAGGGTGCATTCGTCTTCGGGATCAAAGGTCAGAAAAAGGTTCTTTTCGAAATTTCATAAAGATGAAAAGAAGCTTCCGTAGGCAAGTGACCATAGGTGATAGAAACATCTCGGGGTTAAAAGTCAGAGGCCAAAGAAGTATTTTCCTGAATCCTTTAGGAAAGAAAGTTGTAGTGTTGGGGAGGGGTTTATTACTTAGATTTTATAAAGGGATCCTAGCGCACAAGTCCCTCCAATATCCATAGAACTATGGTAGAGAGGTGATAATGTACTGTTGATACCTTCTGCTGAAAGAGATTATATTTAATGATAAAATTGATGGAATCTTTGGGGGAATATGTTCGCCTACAATTCGGCAATTAAATAACGTTTTCTTTGAAGATATGTTCAAGATGACGTTTAGTCCTCACCTACAAGATGGACTCAAATCGTGCACCCCCAATTCCAACCCTCAAGGAAATATTCAAGAATCTTCATTTATAGGCTACAAGATTTACATATTGGTCTAAGAGATTCGGATAACAGTCTAGGGTCGAAATTTTAACGAGTTCAAGACTTACGGACTATATATGAGAATGAAACAAAATAGATATTCGTTTTTCTCCAGACTCATCTACAGCTGTAGTAAAAAAAACTTGCATTTACAAGTTTTGATACTGTGTTCTTGTAATTAGTTCATTTCTCTTGTTTCTCATATAGTTGGATAGCCCACAAAAAACACTACGTATGAATGTATTTGATCTATATGCTGTACATCTCCGAAAGAAAAATGAAGAGTATAAGTGTCTCTGTTGGCAGTGACAAAAAACATTACAGTTTTTTTCAAAAATTGCTTCTGGTGTTATTTCCTATCTATATCATCTGGAAATGCTCAAAATATGTTCAATGAACTTCTCTCAATATGAACCTAAGTTTTAACAAACTTTCCACCTTTCAAAAACGAACTGAACAACCGGTCACAATTTTGGTCAACTTTTGTTTTTTATACGGAATTTCTGTCTATTTCGGTTTCTGAACTGAAGTTTTATGTGTTCCAACGTTAAATTCGAACGATTTAATTGATTTCGAACTTTTTATGTTGTGATCGTTATTTTCTGTACCATCTTTTGGTTTTTTCTAGCTGCTGATACAATTTCATTGCGAATTTTCATATAATCGTGTAATGTTTTTTGTTACTGCCAACAGAGACACTTATACTCTTCATTTTTCTTTCGGAGATGAACAGCATATAGATCAAAATACATTTATACGTAGTGTTTTTTGTGGGCTATCCAACTATTTGAGAAACAAGAGAAATGAACTAATTACAAGAACACAGTATCAAAACTTGTAAATGCAAGTTTTTTTTACTACAGCTGTATAAGCGCATGAACCAGGAAACCATGATCCGTTAGGGTTTTTGCTTGATCAAATGAGTTGCTAATCGATATACATTGGGGCAATACGTGCGGCTAGTCATGAGTGAAGTCTCAAAAGGGTGCCGACAAACCAGTAGCCGCTCCCGGTACATTATTCGCACATATGGATGGATTGCTTCGACTGAGAAGAGGGCCGTATTGAAAAAAGTGACAGAAAAATCTAATACACGTTCGTTTGTCGGCCAGGAGCCGCATATCGCAGATCATATTATACCCCTCTAAAGGCTATGGTAGTACTGTTGAGTCGTCAAGTTTTATGCCATGAAGATCCTTTTATTTTCCAGAGAAGGCGGTTTCTGGTAAATTAAAAAAACACTTACTTCTTTAGCGCTAATGAAACAAGGATCTCATACAGTGAAGGTTGTTTTGACGCTTGTATGCTGCTTTAACTCTTCCAGGACGGGTGGTTGCCATATAATGGCCATAGGTTGTTTATGAGCTGAGAAAAATTTTTCACTAAGAATCAGATACACTTAGGTATGTGTGTTAATATAGTTGCGATAATGATATGTCTCTGAGAGTAATACCAATGTAAAAGGGTTAAGTAGCTGTCCCAGTATCTTGGCGACCTTTATTCAACGATACCTATAAGCTGTACGCTAAATGGCTTTTATGTTAATAAGTGCTGAATCAATCTATTAAAAGATGATCTCTTTATCACTAAAAGCATTTTGTTACAGTTGTAAATCGAGCAGAATGGTATGAGTCCCTAACTATCATATTTTTCAGCAGGAAGCGGAACAGACCGCGTGCTAGCGACCTTAAAACTTGTCAATGGGATCCAAAAGAGATAAAATCGCCTTCACTGTTGTTGGAGAGAGAAGACGTTCGATTGCATGACAGACATGGCAGTTTTGGAGCTGCTCTCGCGAGGAAACATGTTTAGATGATGAAGCTATTTAGATCCCATCTTTTAGTGACAGACAGATCTCAAGAGGATTCGTGCCCTCATGCCTTTGTTTCAGAGATATTCAGTTCTCAAAATGAATACAAAAAGAGACTGAAATAGAGAATGATCGTTTTTAGAGAACAGTAGAGTTTTCAGATGAAAACTTTTCCGGTCTTGTACACTGCTTGTATAATCCACTCTGGGTTATGGGTTGGATCTATCAGAATTCTTCACTTCACATCTAATATTGTTATACACGGAAAAACTAATTGGTGAAAAAAAATGATGAAAGCCTATCGGTTACCTTCTTTTTCGTGTTCTTTGCTAGTGTACAATCACGTCTTCTTGATAATATACGATATACGAGTGGCATACCAACAAGCAACTGGATACGGAACGAAGAAACAAAAGCTCGAAAAAATCGATGATTATGTATTTAATATGTTTTAACGCGCTCAAGAGAATGCACTGCCAATACACGATATTGATCCACGTCGATGGGCTCTTTGAAAGGCTTTGGATGAATCGTTACACAATTCTGTCGCTTCAAGTTGCTGGTTGCACTCCTTTAAAAATAAACACAAAGTCATCTCGCGCAAGGTGACCAAGGTAGGAGATTGCTGATCAGTTTTATGAATCTGTGAGAGAAACTTCTCTTGTAAGGACAGATGAGAAAAGGAGATTTTACGAGTTCCAGAATTCTCGATTTTCGTCAATCGTTAAGTTCGCTAAAAACTTACCGAAATTATTTGTTATTTGTAGATTGTGACGAAACATCAGGCAGAAGTTAGAGCGATCATCAGGACTTCGGCCGATCAGTTCATATCTGATGTTCGCAAACGCTCGCCCCGATACCAAGCCAACGAAAGCGTCAACACCGATCAAAGTGGAACCCACTTTGAGCTGCACTTTAATCGAACATTTAGCCGCAAATGAGAGAAAAGTTACAATGCAGCCAACAAGTACGCTTGATGGTCAGCTCCTCACACCCTCACCCACACCCTAGATCAAGTTAACATCAACAGTAGCGAGCGGGATGATATTGTTCGTCTTATGTCACTCACTCATAACTAAGTGTCTTCCGATATTTTTCTTTCGACACGAAAGTATGTGCCGCAGATTCATGCGATGTAGCTCCGTTTATCTGATGCAACTGGTGTGAAAAATCACTATGTTTTAATCACTTTTTTTGAGCTATCATTTTCACTGATTTTCCCATGTGAGCACTTTTCTGATGTATAACAATATTGGACGTGAAGTGAAAAATTCTGATAGATCCAACTCATAACCCAGAGTAGATTATACAAGCAGTGTACAAGACCGGAAAAAGTTTTCATCTGAAAACTCTACTGTTCTCTAAAAACGATCATTCTTTATTTCAGTCTCTTTTTCTATTCATTTTGAGAATTGAATATCTCTGAAACAAAGGCATGAGGGCACAAATCCTCTTGAAGTTTTTGATGCCTCATTGAAGTCTGTCTATCACCAAAAGATGGGATCTAAATAGTTTAATCATCTAAATACGTTCCCTCGTGTAAGACAAAAGCGAAGTTTGTTCATTAAATATTCTCGTAATTCACGATTACAAATAAATAAATTGATGATTGAACTTAATAGAGCAAATTCGCATAATATTGTAGCAAATAGTTGTATTACTGCACTGATGTAGATAATTTGACTAAGATATAGCATAAAATATACTGGAGTCCAACCACCAATAAACATAGTAAACATAAAAATCATTTGGCGTAATAGCGATATTTCTCGACGACTAATTGATGCGTTGCGCTGTTGTTGTTGAGTGTTATTTACATTGTTAACTGTAGAAGCAGTCCATGCAGGTCGAACACGATAACTTGATGATCGAACATGGACAAATATACGAATATTCAAAATAATATTCATAAATGATGGTACGATGACCACTATCATAAAAAAATAAAGTCGTAATGATACTGGAATAAGGCAATACTAAACAAAAGAAAAGCAAATTTTGAAGAAAGTAAAATAAGAACCGTATAGTACTTACTGGTTGTGATCTAATAATAAACGGTAACGAAATAAGAAATTCACTAATCCATTGTCCTCCAATACAAATAATCACCCATTTGTTTGTTCGAAAGAAAGGTCGAGTATGATATAATATGAAACAAAATCGATGTACAGTAAATGCCACAAATGCAAATGGTATTTGAATACTTGCTATACTATATGCATAGTACATAATTATGCAAATATTGGAAATATAGAAAAGTTTCACATTGAAATTTAATATGCTAAGATATGCAAGAAAAAAAATCGCACTTGTCATTATAGCAAAACAGATATTAAGTATAAAGATATTATTTTGATGATGAAATCGACGATTTGATAGAATTGAAAGTGAATAGATCAAAGTCAAAACTAAGGCTAAACTCATTAAAACCAATTGAAGAATAGAAAGAATAGTTGCTAGATCTGCCATGATGAAGTTTAAGACAAAGATAAAGGTTTATTCGCACAAAATTTTATCTCTTTAATTTATATACGTAAAAGATTAGAAGAAGAAAAAGTAATTTTAGAATGAAAAAGCTGAAAGGCAGACAACCCCTTTCCTTTCATTTGAAATTTAATCAAGAAAAATTTACCGTAAAGGCTGATAAAGTACAATTTGTTGGAAGCTATCTCTAAATATATTGTAGCATTTTCATCAGTATATTAACCCTTTGGTAATGGGAAGCCGAGGGGGAAAAAGCGAGACTTCAGACTTCAACTACGTCGTCCGTACTTCACTGGTACTTCAGTCGTACTTCGCCGATACTTCACTGTGTTTCACTATACTTCAAATACTATCTAAAGTAGATGAAGTCTCGCTTTTCCCCCTTGTGGAAAGCACATATGTGTGTTTTGATTCTGATTTAATTTGCGTTTGTACGAAATAAATCTTGCTTCGTCGTTCTTTACTCCCAATGAACAATAGAATGGCGTTAATCAAAGAAACAAGTGCGAATAAACTCAACGAAATTTTCAGCAACATAAAATCTCAAATAGGATCAGATTCAGAATCCGATGAATACAGTGGCTCTGAAATTGAAGGTTCTGTAGATGCTTCTGAAGGTGGAAATGCTTTCATAATATCCAGTTCAATTCATCCTCCGAGACTTTGGCAAATATCAAACTTTAAGCCAAAGTTATTTCAGTTTTCAGATTATGGCTGTGGAATTGTTTGCGATTTGGATGGAGAGACATTATTAGATTTTTTTCAAACAAAGTCATTTGACCAGCATAATGTTTCATCTTCCCATCGAACGAAATGAATTCCGTGTGATTCTGAAGAAGGGTGTGGGGATGAAACTAGCTGCCATAATCCAGATTTCACTTCGGCTTAGAAGAGCATTGGATGGCTTGTTGAATTAATAATGATCGAAAAGGGCCAAAATCGCAGTTCAAACAATTATTAGGTTGGGCAAAAAGTTCTGCAACACTTTTGACAAAGTTGATTTTCATTCACAAACTTATTCAGAAATAATAACTACTCTTCATAACAAAGTCCATCGTTTTCAACAATCTTTCACCACCGATCTGCCAGCATTCGGATTTGACTCAAGAACCATTCTGCTGGCTTCGAACCGAAGAATTCTCAGCACGCTTCATGTACTTGTCGTATACACGGTTTAGCCCAGCCTAACAGATTGCATATGACACTCATTTTGAGCTGATTTAATGTATCGACGACTTTATCTGAGTTTCTTTATTATTGTTAAGTACAATAATCAATATAATGAGTGGAGAAATGTATGAATTTTAAGTTCTTTTAAAATAATTCGAAGAAAAGTACACAATGAAACAAGTAGCGCTCGCCGTGCCGATTCACTTAACCCTCGACTCTGGAAGACAGACATTTTTTTTCGTGTCCCAATTGTGAGACAAATTGATCGAACAATTTTATATTACCAATACAATATGCAATAAAAGGAAAGAAACGATGACACAGTACAATAAGCACTAGGGCCACTTCAATCAAACAACATCACAACCATACACAACATATCAAATGCGCCACGAAGCATACACAAGAGTCAAAAAAATGGATCGTCAAACATTAATTTTAGTCTGCTCTAAGTCAATGTCACTTTCCAGGCATCCCCATCCTCATCTACATACTTCAGCCCATCAACTTCACTGCCACGACATCACTCACTGAAATAGGCAACTCCGCGGAAAAGCAACTCTAACTCCGATTTATGAATCCAACTGTAACAAACACTCAACTACAAAAGAATATTTTTAACATGAATCCAAATTTACTACGAACACCAGCAATAATCATCACTTACTCGCAGAAGTTTCCTTTCTCTGTCTTTGTCAAATTCCCATATATTAAATAGGTTTAACTCAATGGATTAGAATTACATTTGACACATGTGACTTTGGGTAATGTACCTTTTGATATCTCTATTTTTCGCTTTCAGTGCATTTAGCTACGGTAATACATACGATTATTCGTCGTTCTTTTATTACTCCTAAGATCAGTTGCAGTTGCATACAAGTTGGAACACCCTAGTCATTTCAACTGTCTTCTGACACCACTCCTAGCCATCCCAAACCCACATCAGCGTCATATTCCATTATAACCCTTTACGGCCGGATGGTACCAAACGATAACATCGGAAAACTATTTCATCAAGAACTCGTTCAAACTAGGACAAAATATCGATCTCTTCTCATAATAACTAAGGACAGGTATTGTGAATTCTATTGTTCGTGTGTTGAAGTTCATTATCTATCTTCTATCTCAAAATAGTCTAATGAAACATATATTACTTGACACTTCCATATAATCGTAATTATCTTTTTTTTGGGCAACAATTAAAGTCTATGTGAAGTCCCCTATTATGGAACTTTTCAGGATGGATTATCAATATGTTTCACCAGTAACAATAATCCTGGAATAATATATAATACAAAGAAAACAAGAATGTTACCTTTCGGTACCACCGGCCGTAAAGGGTCAAAAACTGAGAGAAGCTACTTTGCTCCCCGCGCTTGAGTTTCGGTATTTTAGCGTTAGTTTGGGTCCAGACTCTCATGCACGGCCACACTTTTACTATTTGTCCATCTCTTGCAGCTATAATCTACGACAAATCCCAGGAGTACTTGAAAACCTATGACAAAAGCGCAGATTTCACCCATTTCTCATGAAGGAACTCACAAGTTCACGCAGATTCTAAGTTTCCACAACTCTTGATAATGATTGTAAGATGAATATTACGATGAGTTATGAATCTCCCTAAACTCTGCGTGAACTTGTGAGTTCCTTCATGAGAAATGGGTGAAATCTGCGCTTTTGTCATAGGTTTTCAAGTACTCCTTGGATATGTCGTCGATTATAGCTGCAAGAGATGGACAAATAGTAAAAATGTGGCCGTGCATGAGAGTCTGGACCCAAACTAACGCTAAAATACCGAAACTCAAGCGCGGGGAGCAAAGTAGCTTCTCTCAGTTTTTGACCCCTTACGGCCAGTGGTACCGAAAGGTAACATATTGACATCCCGCGTAGGCTCGGTTCATTAGAGCTCAAACCCAAATCCGGTAACCACTACACCTACAGAACAAAGAATATGTAGAAAGAGAATATTTTGCTTAATGTCTTCTGGTAGCCGGCCGTAAACGCATAAACAAATCGACAAGAACTAGACACCTAGCCTACATCAAAATCCTCAACTCAGGGAACAGAGCCGCCGATCACCGAGTCCAATCACCAACGTTCACGCACCCCGCCCACACCCACTCTCAAGATGCGTTCACCCTCACCCTCAACCGAGAATAGTAATAAAATAAGACTTCTTATTTGTAAATAAATAACATAATAAAGGAAAAATAAGATAAAATTGTTCTTCTACAGCCAAACTCCAGCCGCGAATCACAGGATTTAATTCAATTCGTCGTGAGGAATATGAACTATCATTCCACCAAAAGAATATATTTGTAGAGAAAGTAATAATAGAAATGAGCGAATAACCAAATTCTTTTAAGAATTCATATGGCATCCAATAAAAGGCTATATAAGCACTAATCAATGAAATAACATATAATGCTGGAAGAATACGACGACATCGTCTTTCATAAAAATGAATCAGTGAAAATGTCCCATTTGTAATTTCAATATCAATACGTGATGTAATTAAATATCTACTAATGACAAAAAAATATATCCACACGAATAAAACCTCCAGGAGTCAATAGAATTAAATTAAACCAGCATGATACAAGATAACTGATAATACAGTGACTGCTCTCAATCCATCAATTTCTGCATGATAAGGATGCATTAGAAATACCTTTGAACATATAAAACTAATTGTGACTTTTTAAAAATCTATATAAAGAAGCGTAGTCGAACAGTCATCGATTTTTACTTACACTGGCAATGGTATATGATGAAAATACTTATTTATAATGACTGACAATGGAAATAAAAATCATAAGATGACGGCTGTAACTAAATTGTAGATGATAAAACAGAAAAGACGCCATTTCTTATAGCTGAGCAATGAAAAATAACGAAGAATGCTCAAATAAATTAAAAAAGAAAAAGAAAAAGAAAAGAGCAGATGCTTTCTGTACGAGTCCAAATATTTCTATGTCGTTTTCTTGATGACTTTTCTTACAATATTTTCATGATATTTCTGCCAAAATATCTGCTTGATGAACCAACCATATACAACGTTTTTTTTTCAAATATGCATTCTCTTGAGAAATACAGAAAATTACTAAAAATAATAAAGTATTAAATAGAATAAACCATGATTTTTGGTAGAATTTCTTTCAAACCAAAAACTGAAATATTGTATTCGAAGACATTTGAAACAAATTATGAATTATTTCACGTTTGAATCCACAAGAAAAATTTAGATAAATGACTGCTGTAGAAGCATATTTAGAATGCAATTATTTCATGAGAGATGTTTCTCGTCCTCGATAACCCTTCGATCAACCCTTGAAAATATATGATACTATATGTTGATGATGTGACTAAACGTGCTAACAGACATCAACTTCTTTCTTTCGTGATATCAGTTCGGCGCATTATACTCCTTTCAGCAGATGGAGCAAATCAAAGGGCCAATTTGACCAGGTTTCTTCTCATTAAAATAGTAAAATAATTAAAAAATGTTTTGTTGAAAGTAGGCAGTGAATTTTTACCTTATACGTATAAGAAAGTATATTTGTTTTTGTAAGAGCCCATTGGAATCAAAAATGGATTTATTAGAATCTAAAAGAATCCACTGAAATCCAACTAAATCTATCGGAATCATCTGGAATCCTTAGAATCTGAACAGATCGGATTCTGCTCTTTTCTATATTGGTTTTCCTTATGCGTTCTGTTATTTATAAGTTTTGATGACGGTGAAGAAAACGATATTTTAATTTTCTCTCTTGAAAAGTTAGAGAACAAGAAAGTTCGAAACGATTATGAAGCCATATATAAGGTCATTTTCCAAGTCGTATCCTTCATAAAAAATCTACCGGTTCGGTGTATTAGTGGAATATAATGCTTCTCGAATGGTTGATACTTATAATACTGAAGAGCAAAGAATTATCGATAGAATCAAATGCATTGTTTTACGTGAAGCTCGAGATGCTGGTGCAACATTCATTAATCGACACTGGGTTGCGAAAAAAATTCATCGTTCGATTCAATTTGCCACCAACTGGTGGCAAAAACCATATGACCAATGTTTTGCGAATCATTCAAATCGTGGTCGAAAGCTTAAATTATCAGGAGCAAGTCGAGATATCACTCGTCCCAGCAAATTCTATTTCGATACGTTGCCGGGACTAGCTTTTCTGATTTGTTGCTTCGTAGTACGATTGAGAGGAAGTGTTGTATTAATTCAAGTAAACTGTGGAAAATTAATTAGAAGCATCAGGTGTTTATTGAAACAACTACGATCCTTTCCTTAGGTATATTATCGTTCCGGTCATCATTCACAGAAAAAAATTACCAGTGAATATAACGCTTCATTTCTTTCCTGGCCATCCACCACCACCATTAGCACATCGGGAACAGACGCATACCGCTCGATTTCCGCGAAATTCACACTGACTATTACCACAGTTGCGAAAGTTGCACGAGGCTCCACAAGCCAATTGCGCTACTTTCTCGCCAATTGGACCGTCATTCATTCGTGCACATGTTGAAAGGTAGAGGCCTTTTGGCTGAACATGTTCGAGCTGGTCGGCACTGACATTGAGAATGAGTGTTTCAAATAGGGAAAGAATAAGAACGATCAACATAGCGGACCGCATCTTGAGTGTTGAATGTCGAAAAGATGAATTAAAATGGACTTTAAACGGTAATTTATACTCGAACATTTCTTCTTTCTTTACATAATTTTCTTCATCGTTTGCTAATCGATTGTTTTTTAATGTATGCAATTACGCACATCATAATGATGTACGCGCATAGGGTGAGAACGTTTATATTTAAATATCAATTCATCCTACACATCTAAATGATAATAACTTGTCTCAAGTCCCAAACATTAGCATACGATTAATGATCAAGATGAAAAGTAAGAATATTTAGTGAGCATACGCACGAATAATCAGCATATTGGCATTTATTCTAATGTAAAGAAAGAAGAAATGTTCGAGTATAAATTACCGTTTAAAGTCCATTTTAATTCATCTTTTCGGCATTCAACACTCAAGATGCGGTCCGCTATGTTGATCGTTCTTATTCTTTCTCTATTTGAAACACTCATTCTCAATGTCAGTGCCGACCAGCTCGAACATGTTCAGCCAAAAGGCCCCTACCTTTCAACATGTGCACGAATGAANATGTCAGTGCCGACCAGCTCGAACATGTTCAGCCAAAAGGCCTCTACCTTTCAACATGTGCACGAATGAATGACGGTCCAATTGGCGAGAAAGTAGCGCAATTGGCTTGTGGAGCCTCGTGCAACTTTCGCAACTGTGGTAATAGTCAGTGTGAATTTCGCGGAAATCGAGCGGTATGCGTCTGTTCCCGATGTGCTAATGGTGGTGGTGGATTGCCCAGTCTGCCCAATATTCCGAGAATCCCGCGTGGAATGTAAATTTAAACATCTGAATGATTTTTCAACAGAGTTTAATAAAATTGTTCTGCGTTCGTTAGAGTAAGACTTGAAGTTTTTCGTTTAGAAAATCGCTCATGTGCGCGTGTCCAATGTCTCATGAGTACATCATTTCATTCATTCAACATTAATACCAAATACCTCGTACATGATCTCTGAGTTGATGCTCCTTATTTCGTCCGTTATTCTTTCCTTGAAATCATCAATAACGTCAACGAGTGTCGTACAGATCGATGTTTTAACGAAGATTGATAGAAAAAATATCGAAGAGTGTCAAATAGGAACTTTTCTATCGATCAATTCCCCCTCAGGTGTGATGGAAAAATACTTCTTTTGAAAATAACACAATTCGTGGCCTGAGTTAGAGCATTACGCGTTTTATTATAATTTATAATGAAATTGAATGAAAATCTACTCATTAAATGTTAGCTTTTCAGAAAAAAGTATTTTCCGCCGTACCTCAGGAAGAGTACAAGGTTCATTTTTCATGGAAAAATGAATTGTGTCAGAATTCTCTAAAATATATATGGATCGACTTAGTTTTTCATGCTGATTTTGAATATGAGATTCGTTTTGAGCCCTTGTGATTATTTGGAATCGCTATCCGGCCGATAAGGGGTCTAAAAAGTGGTACATGGGGTTCCGGACAAATGGGTCGTGTCACACCACAACTAATCATGGTCTCCAGGCTACAAATTATATCAGTAACTGTTTCTATGTATAAAATTTACTAACTGATCCAAAATCACACCCACTAACTTCTGTACTTGATGAGCAACCGATCACATACTCATACGTTCATGTACAAGGGAAGGGTGTGAGAGGTCCTGTACTGAGATTACGCTAGAAGAGAGTGCTGAATCAAACAAAAATAACTTTTCCGGCCCAGTTTTGCGAGCTGAGTTCGCATCTGATGTTAGTTTTTCGATAAAGAAAACTTTTTGATGGTCTCTGGTGGCTAAAGCGATAGCCGCGGGGTAGGGATGAACCCAGTGTAGTACTGAGAAACTCAACCTCCCAGTGATTTTACCCATATAGCTTTATGTCAAAAGATGTATCTCTGGTAAAAAAAGAAGTCTAGGCGGTTCATGTTGAGAAAGGAAAAAGCTGGAAATACCGTCATTTCGAATAGTACGGAGTTTAGAGTATTGAGCAGTTCTTCATCTGGAAGATTTCATGAATCTTAGATATCAGACATTCGTCTATGGTAAAGTTACACCCTAAACTGTTCTCTAACGAATGAGACGTCACCGAGTTCTCTCGGTGAATCCTTTCATGAGACAATGTCCAGATACTAGGTACTCTCGAAAGATCCATAAAATAGGACTATTGAAAACACTAAAAATTTATGCTTCTGCTCCCATTTTTTAATGGCTAGACCGAACGACTTGCTATTTTGGATTTAAATATATTTCAACTAGGCCCTTCGTTTGAATGGGAAAAAAAATCGAGAAAATTTTTTTCCTCACCGTCGTTACACTAAAGTAGAGGTCTCCATTGGCGGGCCAGACCACAATTTTCAGGGGGGGGGGGGGGGGATGGGGGCGCAGCCCCCCCCCCACCCCCCCCCCCCCCCTCCAGGCCCCGCGCCGCGGCGCCCCCCCTCCCACACGCCTC